AAGGATTTACCTAATACTAAAAGGTGGGCGTTGCTTTAGCTACCATTTTCTCCACTAAACAGTTGGTGGTTGACTCTGACCTTTCAGAGCCTTCAAAGTTAACCAGCCTTCCGGGTTCCTTGTCCACACCTCTCTGCTAGTGAAGACAATGGGCACAGCCTGTGGTACACAGCTGCCATGTTAAGAGGAAGCCCAAGCAGCCCCACAGAGGGGCCCTGTGTTAGCAGGAACTGAGGACCCCAGCCAACAGCCAGCACCACATAGCCAGCCATGTGAGCGAGTTATTCTGGCTTCAGGCAAGCTGCTCCGTCTGATGCCGCCTAGAGTGGAGAAAGCCATTCCAGCGGAGCCCTGCCACGTTGTAAATTGGTGAGCAAAGTAAAGTTTGTCAACTGAAGCTACTAAACGTCTTGGCAGTTCGTTATGCAATAATAGCTAACCGGAGCAGACGATATTTCCCAGAATGTTTGGAGTCCTCAAAAAAAATGGTTATGTGATCTTGCTCCCTGGCATATGTCGTCAGTTTGGCTCAAATCAACTCTTATAAAAAATTCTCTTTAAAAAGTGGTTATGTGTGCCTAAATGTTTGTATAGATACTGGAAAATATTCATATATTCAATTTGTAAAAACTGAAGAAGAAAAAAATCAACCCAAAATGCTGAGTTAGGACTGGAGAGTAGAAACAGAAGAATTTTCCTTTAATTTTTTTACACTTGCAACTTAAAAAAAATGTTTTTTATTGATTTCAGAGAGAGGAAGGGAGAGGGAGAGAAAGAAATATCAATAATGGGAGACATCCATCAGCTGCCTCCTACACACATTCTATTGGGAATCGGGCCTGAAACTCAGGCATGCGCTCTGACCAGGAATCGAACTGTGACCTCCTGATTCATATGTAGGTCAAAACTCAACCACTGAGCCACACTAGCTGGGCTACACTTGCAACTTTTTTTTTTTAACATCAAGCTTATACAATATTTGGCGAGAGGAGATAAATAATAAAGTGCTTATAACAACCCTCCCTTGATTCATGGTCAGCACCAAGCATGTGTTTGCCATTATTTCTTTTATTTCATGATGAAATGAATACATGGAAACCAGCTATAGATGAGTCTTAGGTCCCTCTGGTTCAAACATCATGTGGATATTACTAGCTGTGAATGGCCCCCACTCCCTCAGCCCTTATCAAGGGGGAGGAGGGCTTCCAAGAGGGGTGTAAGCACTGAGATTGGGGTCAATCGCCCAGAATCAAAGCCCAGCTTTGCCACTCTCCAGCTGTGTGACTTTGGCAAATGACTTGCCCTCTCTGATCCTCACATTCCTCCTCTTCAGTAAAAAGAATATAATAACAGCCTGTGGGGATGGGGATTGGGCATAAGCACAGGTCTATGTGCGTCTCTTAGCTTGGGTTCCCAGAAAGTAGACCGTGACACAAGAATTCAAGTGCAAATTCTTTATTCTGTGGCAAAAATTCAATTGCAAGTCGTTTCTTTGGAAGCTGGTCCCAGGAGATGCCAGTAAGGCAGTGGGGAGTGAGGTAGGGAAGGGAGGGCAGCAGGGAAATGGTGCTTTAAAAATGAAATTCCCTCTGTTGGAACCTGGGGCTCGGCCCCCTCAGGACCTCTGGGAGAGAGCAGAGAACTGTCATTAGTCAGGGCTGCTCCCAAACACATATTTCCCCAGCAGGCCTGCTTGCTGCAGGGCAGGGAGGGGCTCTGGACAGGGGCTCCTGCCTTGAACAGGAGCACAGACCGATGTGGACAGTTATAGTTGTTCAATGAGTGGGGTTCTCCCCTCCTCTCTTTCCAACACCTCCCCCACCCCGTATCCCTACACACACACACACACACACACACACACACACACACACACACACACACACTTTAGAGCCTGTGTCCCCAAACCAGCCAGCAGAGGGAGCCTCTAACACACTCAGGAGAGGAATGAGCCTTATGTGATGGCACCAAGTTTATCTAAAGACTCACATCCAGAAAGAGGTAAGTCCTGGGCCCCACAGACCTCATGCCTCCCCTCCTCCCTCATTCATCCACCAAGACCCTTAGTGAAAAGTCAACGTGCATGACAAGTAGGATGAACCTATGGAACCCACAGGAGAGCCAAGGTGCAGAGGGGCGGTCACGTGCCAGGGCCACCGCTAGTAAAGAGCAGAGCCTGGGTTTGAACCCATGTAAGTCGCCTCACAAGGTCAAGTTATTTCTGCTGGCACATGACCGGGGTGCTCTGAGGCATGGGTGATGAGAGTGAGTTGAGGGAGGCTGGTGCAATGTTTGAGGAATAATGAGCGCTTGGATACCCTCCCTTGGGATGGGGATGTGAGAGAGGCAGTGGGTGGCTCCTGCAGTGCCTGGAACTGCATGTTTTCCACTCGGTCTACCTCGGAAAGGGCATTCCGGCTGACGATCCCAGCTCACACCACTAGGGGACACTCCAGGATCGACAGCACTGCTTTGACTCATCTCCGGGTCCCCCACCCCGCGCCGTCTCTGCCGATGCCCCTTCTAGGCAAAGAGAGTCCAGGGACCATGAGCAGGATAAAGAGGCCCAAGGAATGGGGTAGAAAAGGACTCAGGGCCGCCTCTGAGGTCCCAAGGATATCTGTCATTTCACTCTGGGGGACTCAATATCCATCCCAGGATAACAGTGCCTGTGAGAATTAAATGAGAATATTAAATGGAAAGACACCCAAGAAGGACTCAGTCCATTTAAATATCATTATTGTTATATTAACTTCGGAGACACCCACAATCCCCTGGGGTTGATCCTTAATTAAGCCCCTCCTTCTTGAACATACATACACACATACACACACACACACACACACACCCTGGTATCTCACAGTCTTTGGGCTTTAAACACCATCTGAGTCCTGAGGCTTCCCAAATGTCCATCCTAGCCCAGCACTCCCTCCCAAACTTGAGACCCACCTGTCCAAGTGCCAGTTTGATGGTCCAGCTGCTCCTGGTCCAAACCGACATGCTAATCTCACCTCCAAAAAAACAACTTACTTCATTCAGCATTCCCCGTCTCCACTGATGGCACTCCATTCTTTCCAGACGCTAGAACCTGGAAACCTGGGGACCCACCCTTCTCATGAACCCCACATTCCATCCGTTGGCAAAGCTGCCAGGACTGCTACCTTCATAGAACAATCCTTCCTCATCAGAACACAATTGCCCCTCTTCACCTGTACAGCCCCCATTGTGGGCGAAGGTACAGTCACCTCTCACCTGGACTCATGTCGTCACCTCCCCTCATCTTCCAGTTCTATTCTTGCCTGCTGTAGTAGTCTCTATTCAGCAGAGCAGCCAAAGACTGTATGACAAGTCTTACCCCTCCTCTGCCCAGAACCCTCTATGGCTGGCTATTTTTTCTCACAATAAAATCAGTGACTTGAAGGCTCTGTGTTCATGTACTTATTTATTTGCTTTTTCATTGTCACCTGCTCCCCTTTCTAGAAAGACAGTTATACGAGAGCTCAGACACTAGTCACAGTAGATGCTCAATCTGATGGATTCCTATGACTATTGTGGACACTGTCATTGCCCTACCTTCTAGATCACTGTATCAGGGACTATTCCATCACCTAGTTCCCCCAGCCTAAGACTTGAGAATCACCCTAACCTTCTCCTCCACGTAACCCCCACCCTTCCTGTCCCACCTGGACCACAGCCACCCTTTCCCCTGGATGTTCAGCCCCCTATGCTCCCTTTCAAGCCACCTTCCTGCCAGCCCAGGTTTGATCATGATGTGTCCTGTTCCTGCTCACACTCGCCCTCTAGCTCCCTATTGCCCTCAGCATAAGGGCTGCACTGTGATACAGCCCACAGTTCGTACACAATGGGCCCCTACCCACCCTTTCTCCTTTCTACCCCAGGTCCAGCCACTCTGACCCTTGTGAGTTCACCAAATGCTACTCCCACTTCAGCATCAGAGACGCTCTCCCTGAGCCACCACCCCCCGTACCCCCAAATGTTGTGCTCACCCAGCACCAAGGTCTCCCCCTTGGAGCACTTGTCACACATTTAAACAAATATTTACATGTAGAATTATTTGCTCAACATTTGTCAACTCCTGAGGGCAAGAATCAGGCCGGCTGTGCTCCCGGCCCAGTGCTAGCAGACACTTAATTAATAATGCAGTCTGTTGATGAAATAAATGAATACACAAACTGTCCCAAAAAAGTCTCAGTTTGTCCAAGGACAAGTGATTTTCCAGCCTCCTAGCTCACAGCTTCCCTCAGCTGTGTCCCAACTGTCCAAGGTCCCTCATTTCCTCGCTGGGCTCTGCATGTCAGGGTCTGGTCAGGCTAGAGGGTGGATGATGGTGGTGGATATCTGTATCCCTTGCTTTTATTCTACAAAAATCAAAAACCCTTAGCAAAGAGCCTATGAGTAAGGGAGGAAGGAAGGGGTTTGGAAGGAGGGTCTGAGTTTACAAAACAAGAAAAGCAAACAGCAGGGCCACAGGAGGCAGCCTGATGCCTGAGAAGTTCGCCCATCTGAGCTCGGGGCCTCAGGAAGGCGATATCCAGGTTCCAGGCTCTGACCTCGGGCTCCAGCTCCCAAGTCCTCCGTTTAGAAGCCCGTCCGATCCGCGTGGGGCCGGGCTTGAATCCAGGATGCTTTTACATGTCTGGTCTTAGAAGGCTCTGTGGGAGAGGCCTGAAGACCTGAAGCCGCAGGATGCTGGGGGCGGGGTCTGTGCCCAAGGGGTGTGGCCTAGCCTGGTCCTCAAATCAGAGGGCAGCACTCGAGGGGTGGGTCCTGGAACTCAAGGGGCGTGGCCTTGCCTTGAGGGGCGTGGCCTGCACCTACCCGCTGCTCAGTGGAGGACCTGGATCCCCCTGAGCGGAGCCTGGACGTCGATGGGCGTGGCCTAGGTCCACAGGACTTAGGGGCGTGGTCTGGTCCCTCGGGGCGGGGCTTCGGCCTGTGGGCGGGGCTTCGGCCCCGGGCTCCGCAGGGGCGCATGGCGGCGCTCAGGCTGAGGCCCGCGGAGGCAGGGGCTCCACGTTGAGCCAGATGCCGTTCTCCGTGCGCAGGATGAGCTCCGGCTTCCGCCGCACTTTGCGCGTTCGGTCCACGCTCAGGCGGAAGCGCAGCAGGGTCAGCGCCACGGCCACGCGCATCTCGGCCATGGCGAAGCTCTGTCCGATGCAGTTCCTGGAGGAGGGACACGGCTGTGAGTGGGGTCCCTGGAGCCGGGTAAAGGACCACACCCCTCCGAGCCTCAGTTTCCTCATTTGCAAAGCGGAACCATGCATCCTGGAACCTCTTGGGAGCCTCTGTGCCTGGCACACAGTAGTTGCACTTAATACTGAGGGTTGCTATCACAGATCTGATGTGCGGGCTTGGGGTGCATTGAGGACAGACAGGAAGAGTATGCCAGGTGGGCAGGCAGGGCACCTGGGATGCGGTCTACCTCCCTGACCTTCCACGAACCTGGGTGTCCCTGCTACACTTGGCTTGGACTTGGGGAGATAGACGTTACCTGGGTCCTGCGGAGAAGGGCACGAAGGCCAGCGGCGAGCGCTGCTGCGGCTTGTCCGGGTCGAAGCGATAGGGGTTGTACACCTGAGCAAAAGCAGCCTGGGTGAGTCTGGGGTCTTGCCCACCCCTAGCAGCCTGGCCCCCTCTCTCAGCCTCCGGGGAGCACCCCAGCTGGGCAGAGAGAGCCACGCTGAATCCCAGCCTCGCTGCCTCCTTTTGCTATTTTCAGGCATTCCCTACCCCAGGCCCTTTGCACTTGCTGTTAACTCCGCCTGAAACACACTTGTCCGTGCTCTTCACACTTTTCAGGCCTCAGCTCAAACATCTCTTCTTCCTCCACAGACCTTTCTTCAACATGGGAGCTAAAGTATTCCCCTGCCCCTGACCCACCACCCCACTCCATTTTTTATTTCCTGTGTACATTTACCAAGACCCCAAATCATCTTATGCTTGCTCTTTTGTTCTTTACACTTCACAGTGAGTTCTGTCCTCAGTACCCAGCATAGGGTCTGGCACTCAGTAGGAGCTCAATAAATATTTTTAGAATTAATGAATTCACAGAGAGTGGGGGATGGCTGCGGGGGAGGGGGCCCGCTCAAGTCCTGCATCCAGCCCTGCTTTCTGGTTCCCTGGGAAGCAGGGCAAGGAAGGCCCACCACCCCAGGACTGCCCCACTCACCTTGGAGTCCGGCCACACTGTGGGGTTGTGGTGGGTTCCATAGATGCTGACCAGGCAGATGATTCCTGTCGGGAGGGGTGAGGTCAGTGGGGCAGAGGGGAGTCAGGGAGGCCTGCTTTCCTTGGAGCCATGGTGTTCCATGAGCTGTCTGCCACCTTCCCTGCCCGTCCTTCCCTGGAAAAGGCTGCTGCACGCCTTCCTAAGCAGCCTCCATCACCTCTCTGCCGGCCACACAGAGCCCTCTCTTACACATCTGGCATTTCTGCTCCTGGGCTCAAACCCCTACCTTGGCTACCTGCTACCCTGAGGGTCAAGTTCAAGGGCCTTAATCAGGCATCAAAGGCCTTTCAGCATCATCACTCTTTCCCTTCCAACCTCCAAGGCTCACCTCCCACCTTTCCTCTTCCAGGCAGCCCTCCCTGCATTCTTCCCAGATGGAGCCACCGATCCTTCTTCTGGCCTGCTCCGGCCCCTGTCCCTCCCGTTAGCCCCTCCCTGACCTCATGTAGCTGGCCATGTCTGTGCCCAGCTGTATCCCCCAGCCCGGTCCTGGAGATGAGGCCTCTGTAGATCCCCAGCAACCCCCAGGACAGGGCTGGGTCTCCAGGGGATGTCTGGCAACGGAATGAAACCAGCCCTGCCCTCCCTGTACCCAGAGAAGCCCACCTGCCACACCCACTGCCTCCTTCTCATCCATGCTCACCCACTTCTGTCTTCACCCTGCACCCGGGTCTCCCCCATCACCCCAGAAGCGAGAGCCACCCCATCTACAGGGATGGTGAACCTGGGGTGAGCAAGCTGAGCCCCACGAGCAACAGAGCAGCCAGGGAGCACGCAGCACGCACCTTTGGGGATGACCCGCCCATCCGGGAGCTTGATGTCCTCGGTGCAGCGGCGGGAGACCAGGGTCACGGGCGGGAACTGGCGTAGGCTCTCTTTGATGCACATGGTGGTGAAGGGCAGCAGCGTCAGGTCATCCCTGGGGGGATTGGGAGCGGATGTGAGTGCTCGAGGCCAGGATCTCAGACTTGCCCCAACTTCTAGCATTTGCAGCTGTGCCCTGCCCACGCCGTTAACCCTGCCTGCGGCTGACTCTAAGCAAATCAGAGCAGTGTTAACGGGCTTCTGCGGGCCCAGCATTAACCCATTAACTGACCACTGGAGGAGGTGCCAGGAAAGCCACAGGGACCCAGGCAGCAGCAGTTTACCAGCTTGTGTGGGTCAACTTCAGTATTAAAAACTCACACATCCGCTTCCTATACTGTTATTTACTTAACTAGAGGCCCGGTGCACAAAAATTCTTACAAGAATGGGCCTTCCTTCCCCTGGCTACCGGCACCACCTTCACTCTGGTGGGAGCCACCTTTTCACTCCTGCCCAGAGCCACCTTTCCGCCCTCCCATGCTGCCCAGAGGCCCGGAGCGGGTGGGGTAGTGTGGAACACCTGCATTGTCGCCATGGTGGTGATGCAAGCGCACTGGTCTACCTCCAGCTGCTGGGCACCTGCGTATGCAAATTAACCCACCAATTTTGTTGGGTTGATTTGCATACTCATTCTTGATTGGCTGGTGGGTGTTGTGAAGGTACGGACAATTTGCATCTTACTCTTTTATTAGTGTAGATTTTTTCCTTTGGAATTCAGAGCCCAACGTTGGGTTAATTATAACTCTTGGTTCATGATCTAGTGGTTTTCTTTACACCAACAGGTTCTCTTTCAAAGCAACTTTATATTGCTACTTTAAAGGGCAAATGGCATGCTTGGCATAAAAGTGTCATAAGCATAAGCACCGCTGGGAAACCAGAAGAGAGTTATTAAGTTCTAGCTAAGCACCATCTCCTGCTCAGTCCTCAGGACCTGGAGCTTCTTCTCTTGTTGTTAGAAAGGCATTTAGTGCCTGGCCAGTATGGCTCAGTGGTTGAGGGTTGACCTATTAACTAGGAGGTCATGGTTCAACTCCCAGTCAGGGCACATGCCCTGGTTTGGGGCTCCATTCCCAGTAGGGGGTGATGCAAGAGGCAGACGATCAATGAGTCTCTCACCCATTGGTGTTTCTCTCTCTCTCTCTCTCCCATCCTCTCTTTGAAATCAATAAAAACATATATTTTTTAAAAGGCAGTTAGCACCTGGCCAGAGTGGCTCAGTTGAAGGTTGTCCCGGCACTGAAAGGTTACGTGTTCAATTCCTGTTCAGGGCACATACCTGGGTTTCAGGTTTGATCCCCAGCGGGGAAGCGTAACGAAAGCAACTGATCAATGTTTCTCTCTTACATAGATGTTTCTCTCTCTCTCTCTCTCTCTTTCTCTTTCCCTCCCTCTTTTCCTCTCTTTAAACATATTCTCAGGTAAGGATTTAAAAAAAAAAAAAAAAAAAAAAAAAAGCAGTTAGCAAGGTGTTAAAGATCCAATAGCACCCAACTGAGAGATTCTCCCTGAGCGCCACATCTGAAAGTTTGCCATTGAACTACTTCCTCGCTGTTCAATGCTATTTAATGTTGAGTTTTCTTTGCATCACTCAGAAGCAGCTCCACACAACACACGTATGAAGTCAATTGGATTATTGTTCCCGATTCTTCGCTTTTCCTTGTATTCAGATTATAGACCTGTGCCCTGTACCTGTGATTCTGCAGTGCCTCCCACTTCCATGGGTGGAATACATGTCTCAGCCCATTCATGTTGCGCCTGACCACATGACTTGCTGAAGGTAATGGAATGTTGAGATGCAAGCAGAGGTTTTAAGTTGTCTGGCTCTCGATGGTGATGGAATGAGATCTGACTTAGGGTGGTGAGCACACAATAAAATGTACAGGTGATGTTATAGAATTGTACACCTGAAAGCTATATCATTTCAATAACCAACGTCACCCCATTAAAAATGTTTGTAGTCGTGTGCCTCTGGGTGCTTCTGAAGTCTACCTTGAGATGGACATGCCCAGAGTAGTTGCTGGTTCAAGGAGAATGAAGAGTTATGTGAAACAGACCTTACCCAAAGCTCAGTTTGGAAGCAACCCCATTCAACTCAGCATCGCCCAGTGGTACAAAGGTCATGTGCAGACAAGAGCAAGAAATATATACAGGCGAGAGCAAGAAATAAAATAAATGCTTGCTGTAAACCCCTAAGTTTAGAGGCTGTTTGTTATGCAGCACTATCACAACCATTGCTAACTAAGACACTCCTAAATAAGAACTCCTACATTATGAGCTAGGCAGATACATTGTTGTCATCCTGTTTTACGGTTAAAGAAATTGAAATTACATTGGATCTTAAGCGATTGTTCACTTAAGATTGAGGTCAGAAAGTCAGTAAGAGGTGGAGCAGAGAGATTCACACCCAAGACCCAACCTGTCCCCACCACCCCCATGACCCCAGACTGACCACTCCAGCTCCTCCAGCTCCCGGCCTCTCATGACTTCCTGGATCTCTTCCCGGCACTTCTCCTGGTACTCTGGGTACTTGGCCAGGTTAAACAGCACCCACGAGAGCCCACTGGATGTGGTGTCATGACCTGCAGGCAAATGAGGAGCTGGCATGGAGGCTTCCTGGAGATAGCAGAGATGCTATCTTCAGAAAACGGGGACCCCTCTCCACCCTCCCCCAGCCTTGCGCCATGTCTTCACCCTCAAACATGAATGTATCCGCTTCAGCTCGGATGTCCTCATCTGTCAGTTCCTTTCCATCTTCATCCTGGAATGGGCAGCAGGCTATGGTCAGCTCAGCCCACTTCATCCCACCTTCTGCATGCTAGGGGATCCTCCAAAGTCATACATGTCCCCCCTCTCTCTCTTAAGCCAAGCTTTAGGAGAAAGGATTCCAAGAACATGAAAGTATGCACCTTGAGTAAAAGAGATGAAAAGAGTGAAGGACAGTCAAAGGTGAGGAGAAGAAAGGAGTTTGTGATTCTTGGGCAGCTCTAGCATCAATAATCTTGTGATCCGGTCATGTGATCATCCTATATAATAAAGAGCTAATATGCTAATTAAGACAGTGGAATGACCTTCCCAAACAACCTTTTGGAATGACCAGTGGGCAGGGGGTGGGGCTGCAAGGCAGCCAGGGCTGCAAAGGCCTACCCTTGCATAAATTTTGTGCATCAGGCCTCTAATCTACAGTAATAAAAGGGAAATGTGCAAATTGACCATACCTCCGTGGCATACATCAGGAGTGAGTATGCAAATCAACCCAACAAAGATGGCTGCTTGATTTGCATATACAGGCGAGGAGCAGCCAGGCAGGACAGGACACCTGCTATGAGGGGAGAGCAGGAAGCAGAGGGAACTACAGGAACAGCACTCAGCTGGGAGCATAGACTTGCAGGCTCCCAGAGGGGCTGGAAGCAAAGCCAGGGGAAGGAAGGCCTATTCTTGCATGAATCTTCATGCAATGGGCCTCTAGTCATGTCATAAATGAGGAAACTGAGGTTCCAAGGGAAGAGTCTGTTGACTTAGGTCAAGCATCCATGAAGCATCAGAGTCAGAAGGGGAGTCTAAGGCTGTCTGAATCCAGAATCCAGGTGCTGCTCAGAAAGTCCACAGAAGCTCCACAAATAGGTGACCCAGTCCTGACACTGTCGCTGAAAGTGTCACACATCTTCAAGGTCCTGTAAGTGTTGTGGACTGAACTGTGTCTCCCCCGACTCCCACCCTACTTCCGGAACTTATATCTACAAGCCCTAACCCTCAGGACCTCAGAAAATGAGCGGATTTGGAGAGAGGACCTTTGCAGAAGTAATTCATTTACAATGGGCTCGTGAGAGGGGGCCCTAATCCAACATTACTGCAGTCCTTATAAGGAGAGATTCGAGCACAGACGTGAACAGATGGCAGACCACGGGAACAAACAGGAGAAGACAGCCATCTACAAGCCAAGGACAGCGGCCTCAGAAGAAATCAACTCTGCCGACACCTCGATTTCAGACTTCTTCTCTCCAAACGGAGGAGATGAATTTCTGTTGTGTGAGCTACCCAGTGTACGGCACTGTGTTACAGCAGCCCTAGCACACGAACACAGTAAGTCTTACATGTTTTGCACCTGCCTGCAGCCCACTCCTGAGTTCGTTTGGGCATTTATTATCTTAGGCAATTGGTGCGGCTCACGAGGAGGCCATCCTGCGCAGGGCCCGCCCTCCAGGGCCCAGCCTCACCTTGGCCAGGAGCAGCACGTCGATGAAATCCAAGGTCTTGCCCTGCTTGGACTTGAGCCAGGCCTCAGCCCCCTGCTGGCGCAGCGCCAGCCGCCGCTCCTGGATGACCTCGGTGGTGAAGCTGTGCACGGTGTCACAGGCCTGGCGGAAGCGCCGCCCGTCGGCCGTGCGGTAGTAAATGAAGTCGATGTAGTGGTGCACGCGATACTGGCGTCGGACCGCCAGCGCGCTCAGCTCAATGATGGCTGAGATGTAGTCGCTCATCTTCCTGCCGGGGAGGAGAAAGGCCGTGAACGCGGGGCCAGGCTTCCTCTCCCAGTGGGAAAGTGACAAAGAGAGGCCCTGGCCCTGGCCGATGTGGCTCAGTGGATAGAGCGTCAGCCTGCGGACTGAAGGATCCCTGGTTCAATTCCAGTCAAGGGCACATGCCTGGGCTTGATCCCCAATATGGGGTGTGCAGAAGGCAGCCAATCATTGATTCTCCCTTATCATTGATGTTTCTATCACGCTCTTCCTCTTCCTCTCTGAAATCAATAAAAATACGTTAAGAGAGAGAGAGGCCCTGGATTAGCTATATTTCCTTTTTTTAAAATATATTTTATTGATTTTTTACACAGAGGAAGGGAGAGAGGGATAGAGAGCCAGAAACACTGACCAGCTGCCTCCTGCACACTCCCCACTGGGAATGCACCCACAACCAAGGTATGTGCCCTTGACTGGAATCGAACCTGGGGCCTTTCAGTCCGCAGACCAACGCTCTATCCACTGAGCCAAACCAGTTTCGACTAGCTATATTTTCTTGTATTCATAATCTCTACCATCTGGGACCTCCCTGACTGGAAAGATATTGCCCACACACACCCACTAGCCCAGTGGTCGGCAAACTCATTAATCAACAGAGCCAAATATCAACATACAATGATTGAAATTTCTTTTGAGAGCCAACTTCTTTAAACGTAAACTATATAGGTGGGTACACTGTTATTAATTTAATTAGAGTATTCCTAAGCTGGCCTTGGCTAAAAACTCAAGGGCCAAAGAGCCGCATGTGGCTCGTGATGCCAACCACTGCACTAGCCTATTCTTAGAGACTCACCCAAGAGCATGCCTTTCTTTGGGGAACCAACCAATCCATTGCTCCTACTCCAAACTTCACCAGGCTGAGCCCCTACCCCCTGCCTTAACCACCCCAGGGCCAAGTACTGGGCAGCTAGGGACACCCTTTGCTCCAGAGCCTGCTGAAATATCCCAAACTAGCCAATCCTAAGCTTGCATACCCTGCTTTTCCCATTTATTCCTAGGAACACCCCCAACGGCATTTGCCGTGCTTTCTCCCAGTGCCTCTCCATGTGGCCCTGGGGAGGGTGGCCTTTTCCTCCTCTTGGGGACCTCAATGACAATCATTTTCTGAACTGTTGGGCCTCACCATACCTGAATAGAACTACAATCTGGGTGCGTTTTACTTTATTTTATTTTTTAAATTGATTTTATTTATTTATTTGTTTGTTTGTTTGTTTATTTATTTATTTTATAGAGAGGAAGGGAGAGAGATAGAGAGTTAGAGAGAAACATTGATCAGCTGCCTCCTGCACAACTCCCACTGGGGAATGTGCCTGCAACCAAGGTACATGCCCTTGACTGGAATCAAACCTGGGACCTTTTAGTCCACAGGCCGACACTCTATCCACTGAGCCAAACTGGTTAGGGCTGAATGCATTTTAAAATGGGCCCAAGGAAGGATGAGGAATTCCAAATTTATGTAACATCACTAAAATTAAATTGCTACAACCCATAGTGTTGGAGAAAATATTTGCAAATCATGTATCTAATGAGGAACTTGTATCTAAACTATTTAAAGAACTCTTAACATTCAATAATATAAAAGACATACCCCAATTAAAAATGGGCAAAGGATATGAATAGATATTTCTCCAGAGAAGGTATAAAAATGTCCAATAAGCACATGATAAGATATTCAACATAATTAGCCAAAATGTAAATCAAAATCACAATGAGATACCACTTCATCCTGATAGGATGGCTATAATCAAAACAAAAACAAAAACAAAAACCACAACAGATAATCACAACTATTAGTGAGAATATGGAGAAAGTAGAACCCTCACATACTACTGGTGGGATCCTAAAATGATGGTAAAAATCACTTTAGGACAAAGCCCAACAGTTCCTCAAAAAAGTTAAACATAGAATTATCATATAACCCAGCAATTCCACTCCTAGGTGTATATGCAAGAAAATTAAAGACATATATACACTCAAAAACCTGTGCACAGCCCTAACCAGTTTGGCTCAATGGATAGGGCATCGACCTGTGGATTGAAGGGTCTCAGGTTCAATTCCAGTCAAGGGCACATCCCCAGTAAGGGGTGAGCAGAAGGCAGCTGATCAATGTTTCTCTCTCATCGATGTTTCTAATTCTCTATCCATCTCCCTTACTCTCTGTAAAAAAATCAATAAAATATATTTTTTTAAAAAATTTGTGCACAAATGTTTAAAGCAGCATTATTGGTAATAGCCAAAAAGTGGAAACAACCCAAATGTCCATCCACAAATAATCAAATAAATAAAACGTGGTTTTATGGCAAGTGGAATATTATTCAGCAATTTTTAAAAATGAATTATTGATATAAACTACTGAAAAAAATGAATTACTGATACAAATCTTTTATGGTGAGTAAACGAAACCAGGCACAAAAGCCTGTATAATTCCATCTATGAATTTTCCACAGTAGACTACTCTGTGGACACAGAAGGAAGATTAATGACTGCCTACATCTGGAGAAGTGGGTTCCGGGAGGTGAGTGCTCAAATGTCTAGAGGCAGTTTGAATCCCAGTGTGATGGGTGCAGGCGGTGGGCTCTCACTGGGTGTCTGACTAGTCCTTTCCCAGCCTCGCTTGTTTCCGCTTCAGCAGCATTTGAAGCGGCTGGCAGTAGGCTGGAAAGGGCTCTAGAAAGGCCAGGGGGAAGGCAGTTTCTAGCGCACAGAGAGCCGGCTTACAGTTTCCACTGAACTGTATTCACAGACACCCAGAATCTAGGACGGCCAGCCAAGGACACGCGGGCTCAGCTGCTGCTGTGTACAACGCGGTCATCTGGACTGCCTCCCCACAGAGGCACTGACATGGGCAGGAAATGCATGAAAAGACTTAAAGGTAAAACGTAATTACCCCTCCTCGTTTGAAACCTTCATGGAGATGAAGAACTGGACTCTGACCCTAACCAGTTTGGCTCAGTAGATAGAGCATTGGACTGCGGACTGAAAGGTCCCAGGTTCAATTCCAGTCAAGGGCATGTACCTTGGTTGTGGGCACATCCCAGGGGGGTGTGCAGGAGGCAGCTGATCGATGTTTCTCTCTCATCGATGTCTCTGGCTCTCCATCCCTCTCCCTTCCTCTCTGTAAAAAAGATCTATAAAATATATATATTTTTAAAAAAGAATTGGACTCTCATCAAGGCTATGCTTGCTAATGGTGCTGTCATTCCACACACCCACAGATCTCTGATTGGGAAGGAAAGACAGTAGAAGCCTGTCTAAAGGGTGCCTAGATTTCTCGTTATCTCAGGACCCTGGGGACTTTAACAGCTGTCCATTTTGTCTTTTTTGCAATTCTACTTGAGCAAGTTGGAAATTTAACTAGCTTTCCTATCAACCAAATTTCTGCATTTGGGTCTTAACCTTATGTGAGGGTTAACTGTGGTTTCAGAGAAACTATTGATTCTAACGTAATGAGTTTTGATTGAGATGACTTTCTTAAAAAATCGTTTGGATTTTAATTGTGATACAAAAATTACATTAACAAATGTATAGTTTTGTACAGATATTATTTCCACTCCGGTGGATAAACTCAATAAAGTCATATCATCCCCTAAAATAAAATATGGTTGGATTGTATACTTTCAATGAGTGAATTGTATGGTATGTGAATTACATCTCAGTAAAGCTGTGATTAAAACAATAACAATAGCCCTGGCCAGGTGGCTCAGTTGGTTGGAGTGTCATCCCATACTTGGTGGTTCTCAACCTTCCTAATGCTGCGACCCTTTAATACAGCTCCTCATGTTGTGGTGACCCCCAACCATAAAATTATTTTCCTTGCTACTTCATAACTGTAATTTTGCTACAGTTATGAATCGTAATGTAAATATCTGTGTTTTCCAATCATCTTAGGTAACCCTGCTATTGAGTCTAAGACCATTGGAAAACAGATATTTACATTATTTTACTCAGACAGTAGCAAAATTACAGTTATGAAAAAGCAACGAAAATAATGCTATGGTTGAGTGTCACCACAACATGAGGAACTGTATTAAAGGGTCACGGCATTAGGAAGGTTGAGAACCACTGCCATACACCAAAAGGTTTTGGATTCTATTCTGGGCCAGGGCACATACCTAGATTGTGGGTTCAACCCCTGGTCTGGGTACAAACAGGAGGCAACAGATTCATATCTCTCTCTCTCTCTTTCTCTCTCTCTCTCTCTCTCTCTCTCAAAATCAAGCAAAGCATATCCTCAGGTGAGAATTAAAAACAAAATAATGATAACAAAATGGGGTGGGGGGTTTCAAGGAGCTGTCCTTGGTCCTGACGTGTGCTTGTTTTCATACACTTTCACAGTCTGTCATTTTTTTGTTTATTTATTTGTTCATGGTTACTGCTTTTTTTCCCACCAACATATAAGTTCCATAAGAGCAATACCTTGTCTGTTTTATTGACCACTGTATTTATAGCCGAGTCCAGGAATAGCACATAGTAGGCACTCGGAAAATATTTCTTAGATTAGCTAATTAATTAATTAATTAAATACTAACGTCATCTCCATCTTACCCAATTGAAACATCCCTGCAAAGCCCTGAGTAACAAGGTCAGACACTTGTTATTGAGGAGATATTATGTGCTAAAAACTTGACATTCATTGTGTCCCTTATTCCTTATATCCCCACCTATATTATAAGCTCCAAAGAAATGGGTTTTTGTCTGTTTCCCTATCATATTCCGAGTAGCTAGCACAATACCAAGCACATAGTAGGTACACAGGAAATATCTGATGAACGAATGAATGAACCGGGGCAATGGTTATCTTACTAATTCATTCAACAAATACTCACGGGGCTCTACTGTGATCCGGGGCAGTGCTATGTCATTTTATCCTGAAAGCATCTCTCAGACAGTCAGGAATGGTCATCAAGCAAAAAAAAACAGAGCCTCAGAAAGTGGGGAGATATTTTCCAAAGACCATATAGTCTTCATATTATAGAATAAGAGAAACTATCATTTACTGAGCACCTATCATGTGCAAAGCCATTGACCCATATTATCCCATTTAATCCCCACACCATGACTATGGGGAAGGAATTGGGGTTCTATTGTGGGGGAGGGGATGAGGAAACAGGCTCAGAGAGGTGATGTCAGTTTCCTCGGACCACACAGCCTGTCTGGCAGAGCACCAGCAGCCCATAGGTGCCTAACACCACCTTTCTCCTCCCACCACCTTGCCCTGAAAGCAGCTGGCTCTGTCTTCCCCTGGCAGGCCACACTCACTCCTGGCAGTTGCTGTTGTAGCTGAAGACACATTTCTGAAGACTGTCCAGGGTCATGAGGCTGATGTGTTCAAACATATCCAGGGAGACCACGGGACCCTCCGCCAGGCGCCGCCACTTAGCCTGGAAGAGAGAGAGACAGCAAATGGGCACAGAGAATGCCGACTTACCACGTGGCTGACGAGGACCTGGCTGCACGCTTACTCCAAGCCCAACGTTAGGTAAAGGAAGTGAGGCTTCATGGCACCTCCTGGCTCCCCCATGACCAGTCTCACTTCCAGGACAGCCTCTCCCCGTGACACCCCGGGACTCACATGCATGATGTTGGTGCACTGGTTGAAGATCTTCATGTAGGGCTTCAGGATGTCAAAGTGGAAGGCAGGGGTCAGCAGGCGGCGGTGCCGGCTCCACTTCTCACCTTTGCTGAGCAGCAGCCCGTCCCCTGGGCCCAGAAGACTGAGGTTAGGGGTCTCTCCTATCGCTCATGCTCCACCCACCTCTCTCTTCCCTGAAGCCCCAGCCCACCCAGTCCCACACTCACCTAGCCACGGTTTCAGGAAGCCGTAGAAAAGGTCATCCTTGGGGGCAATGGCGGCTGTGGAGACAGAGAAGCAAGGATGACTGACTCAGTACAGAATTCTGACCCTTGACCTCTGTTGCTGACCTCCTTGGGGCTCCTCTCTGGGCTCCAACCACCCACCTCACCCCTCCAATCCATCCTAACACCTACCCCAGAAAGATCCTTATAACATGCTGACCTGAACATGAGGCTCCCCTGCTCAAACACCTCCCATGGCTCCCTATCGCCCTGGTAAGAGAAGTTCAAGCTCAGGTTAGCATCAAAATCCCTGTCCCATCTTGCCCCTGTGTGCCTCTCCCACCTCATCCTTCCGTGTCCGCTAAATAGCCCTACGTGCTGTCTCTCACTTCCGAACCTTTGCCCGGGCTGCGCTCCCCATCCAGAATGGCCTTCTTCAATGTCGTCCATCCCCACTTTTCTGCCAGCTCAGGCCATCGGAAGTATATCTTCTCTGCTTGCCTCCATCCTTGCCTTCTCCAGCCTATCCTGAACCCTGGCCCCATGGGGATCTTTAGATCGGACCAGGTCCCTTCCTGCACCAATTTCTCAGCCCATTTTCAAAGCCCTAAGTGAACTGCCCCAGTCCAAGCCGCTCTCAAAACATCTCTATCCTCACCCCACCCCCAACACATACTTAATGTTCTAACATCATAAAACTTGTTTCAGCTCCTTGGAAAAAAGCCGTGGTCTCCCTCTGCTCTGCTTTTTTCCACCAGATGCCTCTCTGCCTCAAACACTCTTTTCTCATTTTTCTAGTCTCAGCATGAATGCCTTACCCTCCCCACCAATCACTCCAGATTGTATCCCTCCAGTAACAATCCCCTTCAGGGGAGGGACCGCATTCATCTCTGATACATTGGTGCTAAATACATTTTTATGGTATGAATCAATCAATCAAAGAATGAATGAATGGATGGATAGATGGATCAAAGCTTGAATGAATGAATGAATGAATGAATGAATGAATGAATGAAAAAGCAAAAGAATTAGTGAATGGATGAATGAATGGATGGGTAAGTGAGTAAGTGGGTGAATTCCCTTTCTATATGCTAAACAGATTTGGAACAGAATGGGATGGGGCCCAGGAAGGAAGTCACTTTTTGTCTGAGCTGTGACTCAGCTGCCTCCACACACACACACACACACACACACACACACACACACACACACATACACACACACACACTCCCCAGGAATTGGCCAATCATGCACACAGTCATTTGTCCACTCATTCATTCCCTCATTGAATACAGACCTCTTCTGCCCCCAGTCCGTGCCCAACCCATGCTGGATGATGCTGGAAACCCAGCGATGGCTCAGCTCCACGCCCTGCCTGGAGGAGCTCGGGTGGGGTGGGTGGGAAAGGGAAGCAGAGGCACGCCATGCAATTATCAAGATGGTAGGAAGTGTGTCATGAGAGAAGGGAGGCATGGAGAAAAGGCTGTCGGAAGTCCAGGCAAGCTCCCTGGAAGAAGAAACAGTGGAGAGGAAAGTGGGAGTCTGCTTGTTCTTCTCCTCTCTGGACTCCGGACTCCAGGCTAGGACTCCCAGAAGGCCTCCTGACTCGCAGACCTGTCCAATGGTTGTCCTTTTCAAATACCGCCCATGGCTGCCCATCACCCCCTGGGTAAAACACAAGCTCATTTGCTTTGCACAAAGGTACTCTGTGTCCAGCTCCTGTCTAATTTTTTACTTTTCCACATACATCATCTTCACTGCAGACACCCCAACTCACCCAAATTCCCCCAACACTTTCACACATCTGCACCTCTGCACGAGGAGGATCCTCCACCTGAAATTACTAATCTGGCGAACTCCTATGCATCCTTCAAAGCCCAGTTTCACTAATGCCTCCTTTCTTCAAACCCTCTTCTCAATTGAACTCTTGTTTTCCCATCCCTGGGTCCCTCCTCCACTCCAACCCTAACCGCTCAATGCCAGGCTGCCTCTTCCATAAACTTTCCCTACAGTAAAAAAGGGATGGAAAAGTTGCCCTGGCAGAGGTCACATAAGAAAAACCATGCAGGAAGCCAAGCAGGAAGCTGCATATGATCTGGTGGAGAGCTTGGCCTCTGGCATAGCCAAGTCTGAGTTCAAATCCCAGCCCTGACATTAACTAGGAATGTAAACTTGGACATGTTAGTACTGTGCCCTCCAAGTCCTCTCCTGCCAACAGTGAAATAGAACAATCATCCTGCGTTTGCCTCATTGATACCCCTATGAGAATGTAATGAGCTGATATGTTATGGCAAATAGTAAGTGATCATTAAATATTTGTGCCTGTAAAATGAATAACTGTTGGCTATTTTTATTACCATGATTATAGTCATTGTTGTCAAGAACCTGTGACATGTCAAAACCGGTTTGGCTCAGTGGATAGAACGTCGGCCTGCGGACTGAAGTGTCCCAGGTTCGATTCCGGTCAAGGGCATGTACCTTGGTTGCGGGCACATCCAGTGGGGGGTGTGCAGGAGGCAGCTAATCAATGTTTCTCTCTCATCAATGTTTCTAACTTTCTATCCATCTCCCTTCCTCTCTGTAAAAAATCAATTTTATATATATATATATATATATATATATATATATATATATATATATATATATTTTTTTTTTTTTTTTTTTTTAAAGAAAAGAACCTGTGACATGAATATCTGGGCCCCCAGCTCACAGCAGGCCCCTATTAGTAAAAAAAAAAAAAAAGTGAATGCCTAGCTGCCATGGAAGACAGTTTGAAGGTTCCTTAAATGTTAAGCATTATCATATGACCCCACAATTTTTTTTTCTGGTAGATACATCTAGGTATCTAGATACATTTGTCTAAGAGAAATAAAAATATGAAAAAAAGAAATAAAAATATGTGTCCACACCAAAATTTGTACACATGTGTTCTTACCAGCCTTACTTATAACAGCTAAAAGGTAGAAACAACCCAAAGAGTCAACAAAGTGTGGAATATTCATACAATGGACTATTTACTCAGCCTTAGAAAAGAAATGAAGGCCGAAACTGGTTTGGCTCAGTGGATAGAGCTCAGCTTGTGGACTGAAGGGTCCCAGGTTCGATTCTGGTCAAGGACATGTACCTTGGTTGCGGGCACATCCCCAGTAGGGGGTGTGCAAGAGGCAGCTGATCGATGATTCTCTCTCATTGATGTTTCTAACTCTCTATCCCTCTCTCTTCCTCTCTGTAAAAAATCAATAAAATACATTTTAAAAAAAGGAAGAAAGAAAGAAAAGGAATGAAGTCCTGATCATTGCTGATCCGTGTGAATGAACCTCAAGAGCATTATGCCGAGTGGAAGAATTCTGTCACAAAAGACCACATGCTGTCTAATTCCTTTCCTGTGACGTATCCAGAATAGGAAAATCCTCAGAGACGGAAAGTGGAGTACTATTTACCAGGAGGTGAGGAGAGGGGGGAAATGGTACGTGCCTACTTCGTAGGAGCAGGGCGTTTCACGGGGTCATGAAAAAATTTGAAACTAGAGAGTCCATAGGTGGTTGCACAACACTGTGAGCACACTAATTATCTGACACTCTGAACCTGTACACTCCAAAGTGGTTAATTATACGGTATGTGAATTCCAACTCAATAAAAAAATGAATGTATCAAACCAAGCTATAATTATATGCCTATAGATCATGCCTTGTCCTTTGTAAAACATTTTCACCTACTTTGTCGCATTAATGCTCTCTATCCCACATGCCCATTAGGAGATTTAAAAAAAAACAAAAACACACACACACACACACACACACACACACACACACACAAGAAACCAAACACAGAGCGTCCAAGAGGACTCACGCCTTCCTCAGGGCCCATCAGCTGTGCTGGTTTAAGCTCAGAGCAGCGAGACCCCCACGGAGGCCCCAGAGGGAGATGGAGTCTGAGGTTTGGACTAGATCTGTCCCATCCCAGATGGGGAGGCATGGACAGGCAGGGGCACCCCACAGCCAGGCCCCATCCACCCTCCCCAACCTGGAGTCCCCATCCTGCTCCGGGGGGGGGGGGGGGATATCCTGCCTGTCCTGAAGGAGAGGTGAGTGGGAGGAAGAAGCTTCAGCATTTACTTAGTGCCAAGCTCATGGGGGTTGGGGGGGGGGGGGCAGTGGGAAGGCTCTACCTCCTGATCTACCTGGAGTCTCAGACCATGCAGGATGGGATTTAGGAAACTAATGCTCTGAGGAGTAGAGGGAAGGGGGGCGGGTCAGGAGGAGAAAAGGAAGAGGCAGGGAGAGAAAGAAAAAAATATATATATTAAAAAGACAGAAGAGCCCTAGCTGGTTTGGCTCCCATCGTCATGGCTGAAAGCCCTCCCGGGGCTTGAACTCTCAGGCTCGCAGTCTATGCAGCAGAGTGTGCCCCTGCTGCTGGGGGAAAACCCTCGCACACAGGTGCTGGCTGCCGGAAGTCAGTGGATAGAGAGAGGTTGGCCTGCGGACGGAAGGGTCCCAGGTTTGATTCCAGTCAAGGGCACATGCCTGGGTTGCAAGCTTGATCCCCTTTAGGGGACGTGCAGGAGGCAGCTGATCAATGATTCTCTCTCATCATTGATGTTTCTATCTCTCTGTCCCTCTCCCTTCCTCTCTGATATCGACAAAGATATATTTTTAAAAAAAAAAAAAAAAGTCAGAAGAGAAGAAACCCTTAGTAGCACCTACTACATTATATTTTTGAGCCTTCACAGCAGCTCCATTTTACAGATCAGAAACTGAGGCCCGGGGAGCCTGCATGGATTTCTGGGTCACACAGCAAGTATGCGCCCCAGTCAGGATTGGAACCCGCCCACCCAAGGCCTGGCCCCGGGGCTCTTCCAAAACCTCTCCCAGGGCCTCAGTTCCTCCTCTGTGCAACGGGGATGTCACCCCTCACAAACGCAACAACAGGGGTGTACAGGCATGGGGCGGGCATCACTGGGGGAGGGGAGGATGGCAGCCCCTGACTCTTTCATGGCAGTCCCCATATATATGTTTGTAGAGGCCCAAGCGGAGGCAAGAGATCCTAAGCCTCCTGGGGCTCTTTCTTTCTCATTCCTGTTCTCTCAAATGTCCCCTGACGCTTTTGAAGGTGCCCAGCTACATGCGAGACCTCGCCCCAAAGATAGAGACAGACACACTCAACCCTTAACACTTTGGCCTGAGAACAAGAAAGTCCTGGAGAGAGGGGTGTGGTCTGCTGGGGAGTTGGGGAAACCTTCCAGGAGAGGGGCGGGGTGGGGGGTGGTCATTGGAACTGGGTGGTGAAGGCAGAGCAAGAGCTTACCAGGCACACTTGGGAGTCCTACACAATGGGAGGGTGGGTGTAGGTGTGGATTGCAGAAGAGACAATCCTTCTAGATCCCTCTCTCCGCCAGTCAGAGTCAGCCCAAGTGAAGAAAGCAGGCTATAGGTTGGGATAGTCAGAACCCAAACGCTGGGAGTGCCATTCGAGTTAAGCAACAATCAGTTAACAAAATCTTAGGCAAACAACTACTTATCCAAACGTGTTTGGCTCTGACTTCCCAGTGGATGGGCATTCTCTCAAAGTTCCTGGGACTTCATTAGCCATACCTTTTCCCATGCTATTCCCACTCTTTGTGTGGCCATTTCTGCTTTGGCGAACTCCTATTCATTCTTCAAAGCCCTACTTAAATGACCCTTATTCTGGATAGTCCCCCTACCTAGAAGCCCTGATGGACTCTGGGAGCTGAGGGTTTACACATCATTCAGAGGCCCAGCCCACCTACCTGAGGCGCCCAGCAGGGGTTTGATGTAATCAGGGTGCACCAGAACCACCAGTGGCAAGACGGGTCCCATCCACACCAAGATCACATGGTGCATGTTGTCCAGCACCTTCTTCTCATCCTGGAGGCCCATCTCGTTTGGGAGATACTGTGGGGGTGGTAGGAAAGGACAGTGAGGAGGTGCCCAGCACCAGCTTTTGCCAGTCCTTCCCCCCCCCTGCTGCCTCCCTGCCCCCAAAACAAGCCAAGAAGGACTATGTGACCCCAGACCATTGGCTGCACCTCGCTGAGCCTCCACTTCCTCATCTGAAAAGTGGGGAAGAACCAACTCTGTCGGAGGACAGTTGAGAGAATTCATGAAATAACAAAGCATCAGCCGAAACCGGTTTGGCTCAGTCGATAGAGCATCAGCCTGTGGACTGAAAGGTCCCAGTTCGATTCCACTCAAGGGCATGTACCTTGGTTGCGGGCACGTCCCCAGTGGGAAGTGTGCAGGAGGCAGCTGATAGATGTATCTCTCTCATTGATGTCTCTAACTCTCTATCCCTTTCCCTTCCTCTCTGTAAAAAATCAATAATATATATATATATATATATATATATATATATATTTTTTTTTTTTTTTTTTTTTAAAGAAAGAAAGAGCTGGCATGGGTTTGGCTCAATGGATAGAGCGTCGGCCTGCGGACTGAAAGGTCCCAGGTTTGATTCTGGTCAAGGGCATGTACCTTGGTTGCGGGCATATCCCCAGTAGGGGGTGTGCAAGAGGCAGCTGGTCGATGACTCTCTCATGGATGTTTCTAACTCTCTATCCCTCTCTCTTCCTCTCTGTGAAAGATCAATAAAATATATTAAAAAAAAAAAAAAGAAAGAAAGAAAGAAATAACAAAGCATCAGAATCCCAGCACGGGGCCTGACACACAGCTGATGTTCAGGAAATAAAAACAAGGACAGTAAACACGTTCATGATGATGGTTGGTATTTATCAAGTTTTGCTCTGTTAGTAATAAAATAATACTAGTATTGTCACATTTAACACATGTGTGTGCTTGCCATGTTGGGCATTGTTTGGGGCATGTTTCACAGATGTATACGTTCAACCCACACAAGAAGAACCCAGTGACAGAATTGCTACTATTCCCCCATTTGGCTTTTTCTGATGTTGCAGGGAAGTGACTGTCCTGGTTTGGCCTTCCCAGAAACAAGTCTCGAGAAGAGAGTTTTAGGACAAGTAGTTGATTTGGGCGATCCCCCTTCAAAAAAAACAAGGGGAGCCGAGACCGGTGTGGTTCAATGGATAGAGCGTCGGCTTGGGGACTGAAGGGACCCGGGTTCGATTCCGGTCAAGAGCATGTACCTTGGTTGCGGGCATATCCCCAGTAGGGGGTGTGCAAGAGGCAGCTGATCGATGACTCTCTCTTATCGATGTTTCTAGCTTTATATCTCTCTCCCTTCCTCTCTGTACAAAATCAATAAAATATATTTGAAAGAAAAAAAAACAAAGAAAAAAAAACAAGGGAAAGTGGGGAAGTAACAAGTGAGGGAAGGTAGCCAGTAAAGAATAAGTTTGTCAAGAAAGTAACCCCCATGGGCCACCAGGGCTCGGTGCCACGAGGCACCTCCGAGGGACACGCAACTCAGAGTCAACCCACCAACTCACTCAGTCCCACCGTCATGGCTGAGAGCCCTCCCGGTTAGGCTCGCGGTCCACACAGCGGAATGGGCCCCTGCTGCTGGAGAAAGCCCTCGCACACAGGTGCTGGCTGCCGGAAGTCAGGCCACTGCACCCAGGAATGGGCCCAGAGGATATGGGCAGGCCCTGGCACCCTCTGCCATCATGGCTGAGACAGGATGTGACCACGGGCCACCCAGCTACAACATTGCCCGCTCTGAACCAACACGCTCTCTGAAACAGAAACACTTAGGGCTCCATGTCAGATGCATCTGAACTCAAATCCACCCTCAGCCACTGTGTGACCTTGGGCAAGCCCCTTAACCTCTCTGAGCCCCAAAGGTGACGTCCATAATATAGGGCAGATCCAACCTTCATGCACAGGCTGTGAGAATTAGGGGAGAGCTCAGATCCAAAGGGGCCTAACCCAGGGCCTGGCCAGTGGTAAGGCCCAGCAATTACAGAATGAGTAAGTGAACAAATGACTCCTCTCTGGCGCCTATGTCTCCTTCTCTATCAGGATCAGCCTTGAGACTGTTCACACCCTTGAGACTGGCCTCACCCAGGTCTCATGGCCTGGGGGGGGGGGGGGAGACGGCTGGGTCACGAGGTCAAGGCTGGACTTCAGAACCCGCCCTCGTCAACTGCCCAGGGTGCCAGGGCCTGGCTATCACCTATAGGACCACCATCCAAACCGGAGGAGTAAGGGCATTGGAGATTCGGCGCCAAAGATGAATAGAAGTTCATGTAACAGAAAATTATATTCTGGGCAGAGGGCAGTTTCAACAAAGGCCATGAACGGGGGGAAGTGGGAGTCTTGCTACAGAAATAGGAAGTCATTCCACGGGGTAGGAGGAGGTTGGTGGGACAGGTGAGAGGGTAGGAGCTGGAGTAGTAAGGGCCTTGAACACCTTCAGACAGCAGTGGAAGCCACGGAGAGTGTGTGAGCAGGGGAGGGGCACGGTGGACTCAAGCATCCTTCTAAGACAGGATGGGGGGTGGACTGAAGAAGTGGACTGGAGCAGGGGCCCAGGGAGGAGGAGGACCATGTCCAACAGCGGAGCAGGAGGCCTGAGCAGAGGTGAGGATGGAAGAAAGGATGGGATTCAAGCCAAACAGGCAAAACCTGACGAGTGCTGGGGGGCAGGGGGGGGAGGATGGGATAATCCCCAAACATAAACTAAATAAATGTTCTTTTCCTATTGAGTGGAAATGCATATCCCACTTCCTTTTCTGAGACACTCCCTCTAAGCAATATCTAAAATATTTCTAGATATTTCTGTCCCAGCAGGACCCAGAAGTTGAGCTCACACATCCACTACTGTGCCAAGCCTGCCCCAGAGATGACTGCAGGAATCATCAAAAAAATCCCATGAGGCTGTTAGGCATGATCACAGTCCTTGCAATACAGACAGGGAAACTGAGGTCTGGAGGGTGAAGGAGCTTGCTCAAGGTCACACAGGCAGTGGCTGGTAGATGAGGGCATCAGGTCCATAATACCTCTCCCGAGCTCTCTTCCACACTCAGCGTGGGGCCTCAGAGCCCTTGGGAGTCTGGTTTTCTCTCCCCTGGCCTGCGACGCCCTTCTAGAAAAGTTCGGCCTTTCTTACCCAGAAATAGAGGTAGCCGAAGAAGAGAGCTGAGAGCAGGTGTGTTGGAGCCAGATAGCTGGGTTTGAACCCCAACTCTGCCACTCACAAGCTGTGTGACCTAGAGCCAGTCGCTTAAGCTCTCTGAGTCTCAGTCACTTAAGCTCTCTGAGTCTCAGTACTATGAGGATAGTAATGGGACCTACCTCCTAGGATTGTCCAGAAGACTAAAGGAATCAACATTTATAAATCGCCTGGTATAATACTTAGCACGTACATGTGAGCATTAAGAAAGAAATGAAATGAAATGCAAGGACATGGTTGGCACCATGACCTGGGACTACAGCATTAAACGGAGATAAAGTATAGAGCCAAATTGGGATTGGGGATGGAACAACAAAATTTGCAGGATCATGCCCCTTCATCCCCCACCTGGGTCCTAGGAACTGATGAACTTTACAGGCATTGGTATTTGTATTCTGAATATTATATCTTACTAGAGGCTCGGTGCACAAAATTCGTGCATGGAGGAGGAAGTGGGCGAGGGATGGGGGCCTCAGTCCAGCCCGCACCCTCTCCAATCTGGGACCCCTCGGGGGATATCCAGTGGGATCAGGCCTAAACTGGCAGTCAGACATCCCTCTCACAATTCAGGACTGCTGGCTCCCAATAGCTCACCTGCCTGCCAGCCTGATCACCCCTAACCACTTCTGCCTGCCAGCCTGATCACCCCCTAACCACTCCCATGCCAGCCTGATCAGTGCCTAACTACTCCCCTGCTGGCTCAGTAGCCCCCAACTGCCCGCCCCTGCCAGTCTGGTTGCCCCTAACTGCTCTCCCCTGCAGGCCTGGTTCCCCCCCTCCCCCAACTGCTTTCCCATGCCAGCCTGATTGCCCCCAACTGCCCTCCTTTGCTGGTCTGATCACTCCCAACTACCCTTCCCTGACAAACTGATTGCCCACATATGCCCTACCCTGCAGGCCATCTTGCGGTGGCCATCTTTGATCACATGGGGGCGGCCATGGTGTGTGAGGGCATGAGGGTCAATTTTCATATTACCTCTTTATTATATAGGACTATATCACAAAAATATCCTATACCATATGAAGGGTCAGCAATAGCCTGGAATTACAGAGAAAACTTTGCAATAAGCTCTGCCCCATCCCAGCCATGTGACCTTGGGCAACCTGCTTGCCCTTTCTGAGCCTCAGTCTCATATCCTGGCTCCAACCAGTTTCTTGGGATCTGCCCAGCCCTGGCCACCCAGCCCGCACACACCATGCCCAGGTGGCCCAGCAGCCAGTTGCGCCGGGGCGGCTGGGGGAAGCAGCGCAGCCGGCGGCAGGTGACGTAGAAGTGCCAGCAGAGCCGCAGGAACCGCAGCAGCAGGTGGAAGACGAAGAAGAGCAGGGAGACCAGGAGTGCGGACACAGCATACAGGCGGAAGGCGGTCTTCTCCAGTCCCAGGAGGCGCAGCAGATGTTCCGTGATGGGCAGCATCCTGGGGGGACACAGGGGGGAGGGGTCAGTGCAGATGGAAACCGCCCTCCAGCCACCCATCTGCCATATGCACAGGCGCAGTGATCTGTGGAGTCAAGCACGGTGCGCCTGGCACGCAGTAGGTGCACAATACAGGTGAGTTCCAGATGCCAAGAGTACTTATCCCTCCTGCCCTCGGCAGCGGTCTCCACCGGCTGGCCAGATGGATGCACCAGTGCCCCACCACAGGCCCTCAGCCTTGACTTTGCAGGGCATCCCTCCTGACCTCTCCGCCCCCGCGGCTGGCCAGAATGCTGGAAAAATAAGACAAGCCCTGCCCCCGAAGCAGCTCTCATCAACAAGGGTGAGCGTGGCTAGACAAAGACTCCAGCGCCTTCTCGCCTTGGGTGCAATGACCCGGAGGTGTGGGCTCCTCATGCACCACCAATGAGATTAAACTCCAGCTGGCCACAATAGAAAGTGTCCCTATGAAATGCCCCACCGACTTCCTTCTTTCTCCTCCTCCTCCACCCCCTTCACCTCCTCCCTCTTTGAATTGAGGTATCACGTGTCATAGAAGAAACCATCTTAAAGTTCACAGTTCAGTGGCACCTAGAACATTCACCCTGTTGTGCAACCATCACCTCTACCTCGTCCCGAAATGTCTTCATCACCCCGAAAGGAAACCCCGTCCCCATGAGCAGCCACACCCTATCCTCCTCCCCACACCCTAAAGCCCCTGGCAACCATGAATCTACTCGCTGTCTTTGTGTATCTACCTGTCCTGGACATTTCCTATCCATGGAGTCATTCCACAGGTGACCTTCCCTGTTTGGCTTCTTTGCCTCGGCATGATGTTCTCGAGGTTCATCCATGTTGTGACATGTGCCGGTGCTTTATTTCTTCTGCTGAGTGACATTCCATTGTAAGGACATATCATAATTTGTTTATTCATTCACCCGTTGATGGACACCTTAGATGTCTCCACCTTTTGCCTATTGGGACATGGGCTGCTATGCATCTGTGTGGACATGTACTTGTTTGAGTCCCTGTTTTCAATTCTTTCGGGTTCACATCCTTCTTGCCCACCGGCTTTTTCTGGGATCACTTCCCAGATAAACGGCTCGCACTCAAGTCCCTGATCTAGGGTCAACTTTTGAAGGAACCAACCAAATCATGATGGGTGGGTAACAATGATAATAACTCGGTGACCAGATAGGGTGCCCTCACTGCACGCTGTGCACCACGCTCAGGGGTGTGTATGCCCTGTCTTGTGGAATCTTAAATCTTAAATCCCTCCCTTAGAGGGAGGCATCATCATTCCCTCCATTTTCTTTTCTTTAAAAAACAAAACATGTGTTACTGATTTCAGAGAGAGGGAGAGGGAGAAAGAGTTAGAAACATGAATGATGAGAGAAAGAATCATTGATCGGCTGCCTCCTCCACACCCCACACTGGGAAATGAGCCTGAAACCCAAGCATGTGCCCTGACCCAGATCGAACTGTGACCTCCTGGTTCATGGGTCAATGCTCAACCACTGAGCTACACCAGCCAGGCTCACTGTCTCTATTTTCCAGGCAACTAAAGGCCATTGCCCCAGCTCAAGGGAGACAAGAGCTGGCCCCAGAAGACCCCACCAGAGATCAACCTCAATCACCTTCACAGGTAGAGCCCATTGAGCTCAGGCAATGCCAAGGAGATTTCTGGGAGGGTGGATCCTGTCCTCACCTCTTCTTTCTAACCAGTCCTAGCAGACAAGGATTCCCTCTCTGCTCCTACTTCCTCCGGCCACACAGATGAAGAAAGCCTGACCTTTAGGTCCCCACCTCAGCCCCATTCCCCCACCCACTCCAGCAGGGGGAGCCCCCTGGGGCTCAGATTCACAGGCTCTTCCACCTGCTGATGTCCGGCCATATCAACCGTGCAGAAAATGAAGTTTCTATTGATCACTGCTTCCTGGGAAAAGATCTGGTAGATCATCACCAGATTCAGAGAGGCCCACTGGGATGGTCTGACTTTAAAATGAAGATGGCATAAATGCTTATTAGGATGGCTACTATCCAAAACAGAAAATAACCAGTGCTGGCAAAGATGCAGAGGAACCGAAATGTACGTGTATTGCCAGTGGGAAGGTAAAATGGTACAGCCAGGTGGTGGGAAACACTATGGAGGTTCCTCAAAGGAAATGAAACGGGATTGCCATATGCTCCAGCAAACCCTTTTCCGGGTGGATCTCTAAAAGGAGTAAAAGCAGGGGCTCAGATATGTGTGCCTTCAGGTCCCCAGGAGCCATATTCATAACGGCCAAAAGACGGAAGCAGCCCAAGTGTCCACAGAAGATGAATGGATAAACAAAATGGGTGCATCTCTACAATGGAATATCACTCGGCCCTGAAAAGTCAATTCTGACACGAATTACAACATGAATGAACCTTGAGGACATGGTGCTAACTGAAACAAGCCAGTCACAGCAAAAGCAGATACTGTGAGGCCCACTCCCATGAGGTCCTGACAGTAATCACAGTCCTAGAGACAGAAAGTAGAGGGTGGGTGCCAGGGGCTGGGTGGAAGGTGTTAGGGGGTGGGAGTGGAAGGGAGAGGCGGGGGTGGGGGGGAGAGGGGGTTGGGGAGTTAATATTTCATGGGAACAGAGTTTTAGTCTGGGAAGATGACAAGGTTCTGGAGATAAATGATTGCACAGTAATATGAATGTACTTAATGGCACCGTACTGTACCCTTAAAATGGTTAAGATAGTAAATGTTATGTGTATTTTACCACAATTTAAACTTTTTAAAAAAACATATTTTATTGAGTTTTTACAGAGAGGACGAGAGAGGGATAGAAAGCTAGAAACATTGATGAAAGAGAAACATCGATCAGCTGCCTCTTGCACACTCCCCACTGGGGATGTGCCCGCAACCAAGGTACATGCCCTTGACTGGAATCGAACCCGGGACCTCTCAGTCCGCAGGCCGACGCTCTATCCACTGAGCCAAACTGGTTTCAGCAATTTAAACTTTCTTTTTAAAAAAAAATACAGACTGCCTGGTATAGGGGCTCTGCCCCCTAAAAGATCCAGGTAGGGGAGGGATGGGGTGTAGACAACCCCCCAAAACAAAGCACAGAGAGCTCCAAGCCACAAGCCCCAGGCGGAGCGATCGGGCTGCCTTTTGCCGCCTCTCGCACGGGCAGCTCCAGGCCACATGCTCGGCAGGAAGCAGCTATGGGGATTATTTCTTTACCAATTTAACGGTGGATAATGACTCTCCCAGCGATGCCAAGAAGCCAGGGAGCGAGGACTACGGAGCCTTGTGACCTTCTCGGAATGCTAGCCCTTCCCAAGCGCCCTGCATGCACTCTGCCAGCATTCGGCTAGCAAATCATTTTGGAGCCCCTGCTCTGTGTGTGTTTCTGTTCTGGGCACCAAGGAGATAAAGGTGAGGCAAAGAAATAGAAAAAGGGTTTTGGCCCTGACCGATTTGGCTCAGTGGACTGAAGGGTTCCAGGTTTGATTCTCGTCAAGGGCATGCACCTTGGTTACGGGCACATCCCCAGCAGGGGACGTGCAGGAGGCAGCTGATCGATGATTCCCTCTCATTGATGTTTCTGGCTCTCTATCCCTCTCCCTTCTCCTCTGTAAAAAATCAATAAAAATATATATTTTTAAGTGTTTTGAGGACCCACCCACGTGAAGTTTCTCACGGTGGCTGCCTCTGGAAGGGGCCTGGAAGAACCCGGGGCAGGAATGATAGGGAGACAACTTCCCCTCTTCGTTCTCAGGGACTTTGGTTTTCTAAACCATGAGCACCTATTGCCCATTCAAAAACGTTAATAGCAGGACATTGTAGGGAGTTGAAAGGTTGTGTTGGAACGCTAGACATCTTATGTATTCTTCTGTAAATCTAAAACATCTCTTAAAAAAATAAAGTCCCCTAGCCGGTTTGGCTCCATGGAGAAAGTGTCGGCCTGCGGACTGAAGGCTCCCAGGTTCGATTCCCGTCAAGGGCATGTTTACCTTGGTTACAGGCAAATCCCCAGGAGGGGGTGTGCTGGAGGCAGCTGATGGAGGTTTCTCTCATCGATGTTTCTAGCTCTCTATCCCTCTCCCTTCCTCTCTGTAAAAAATCAATAAAATATATTTTAAATAAATAAATAAAGTCTAGCTGAAACAGGTTTGGCTCAGTGGACTCCGGTCAAGGGCATGTACCTTGGTTGCAGGTACATCCCCAGTCAGGGGGTGTGAAGGAGGCAGCTGATGGATGTTTCTAACTCTCTATCCCTCTCCCTTCCTCTCTGTAAAAAAAATCAATAAAATATGTGTGTGTGTGTTTAAGTCTATTTCAAAATTAAATAGTCGAAATTAATGAAAATAAGAGTTAAGATGCTTTCACTGGTGGGGAGGAGCATGTTGGGGGTTGCCGGCAGGTTTCTCTCTCTTGATCTGGATCTGGTGACATGTGTAGTTGCAATTTGAGAAAATTCCTGAATAGCCCAGTTCTGGAATGTGCACTCTCCTAAATGTTCATTGCGCTTCAACTTAAAAGAAAAGAAAATGAAAAGTTGTTTGGTTTTGACTCAAACCAGCCTAGGCTCAAAATTATGACTCTGCTCATCCCCCACAAAGCAGCCTCGAGTGAGTCGAGTCCCCACTCTCAGCGTCCACTTACCAATCTGGAAAATGGGTTGCAGCTAGCAGGACCTCCCCGTGAAGGCTGTTTAGGACACTTCAGTGAGGTGAGGCTTAGTGGGGAGCATGCAAAAGCTCAGCCCCTGTCCTTATCCCGGCTGTTCCTATTTTTCCAGAAGTGAGAGAAACTCCCACATCGGGTGCTATGGGAGGCTGGCATACCCACTCCTCTCTGCACCAGCCCTCACGCTCATCCCGGACCCAGGCAGGGCACCCACAGCCCTGCCCTGGCACAGGCAGCCCCGCCTGTCCTGCTGAGGCCCCACGTTATCTGAAGATGGAGGTGCCGGTGGCTCCAAGGCCCACGCCCATGGAGCTCTGGTTTGTCAGGT